TACAATTGCATGGGCAGGATAATGCGTACATTTCTTACCAAGCATTGCAGCCTCCTCCTTTGTTTACCCTTCCCATCCCTTCCCAGCCTCCCCCCTCCCCCTCAAGAATATTTCTTAACCTTGATCCTCTCTCTCTCTCTTCCTCTCCTGCCTCTATCTCAATCTGTTTTGATTCCCATGAAGTAAGCAACTTGCTCCATCATACCACTCTTGGCCCCATGACATACTTCCTCACCACAGACAGACACACATCAATGGAGTCAACCAACTCTTGAAATAATGACTCAAGCCTCTGAAACCATGCTCCAAACAAAGCATTCTTTCCTCTCTTATATTGTTTTTCTCAAGTATTTGTTACAGTGAAGGACAGTCTGACAACAGAGAAGGGTTTGTGGGTCATATTTGACTAAAGAAAGACTTTGGAGATAGTTGGCCTATTTCATCATTGTGTAGCATGATGATCTAGTAGACTTGTTTTGCTCTGGGGATGTTTTCTAATTCTGCATTAGCTGTTTGGACACAATAGTGAAGACATCCCAACTTTCAAGTTACAGCTCTAAACTGGAGAACCCAGTACCTTGTTTGTACTCAACTGTCAATTATTTATGAATGTAGGGGAGTAGTGGTGTCTTCAGTAATAAAATGATAATTTATGTATTTGGAAAGTTTCCTTTTGTGTTTGGCAACATCAACACTTATTTTGCTAATTATGTTTAACCCCAATTAGTATCACTATTAGCATTTTCTGAACATTCACACACAAACACACATGACTCATCAGTTGATGGTCGGTAGAATGCCCAGAAACATTGTGGGAGAGAAAAAGGTGCTCTGAGATTATGGGTTAAAAAAAAAACCCGTTTGGACTGTCAATTCACACATTAATAATCTGGATCAATAAAGAGTTGTCTCGATTTTTACTAAGTTTTTCCAAAACCAAATAATCACATCCAGAAAATACATGTAATGTCAACTAAGTCTATCAGCACCCACAATATTGTCTCCTAACTAGGATTATCTAGTTTGACTAGACTGACCATTATAATCACAAAGTCTCAGTAGCTTTGTGCATATGATCATATAAAAGGATGCTTATCAACATGAACTCCAGGAAATGGAAACAAGCGGTTTTTTAAAAATTTTATGTTTTGCGGTTCTTTTCTTCTTCTTCTTCTTCTTTCTGTTTTTCCCCTTTTGTTTCTGTTTTTAAGTTCTGTAAGTTTATCTGATTTGGGGAGGGGAAAGGGAAGCACAGAGATGACAGAAATGGTGGGACAAAGAATGAACCAATTCGGACTGGGTAGGTGGCTCAGTGGTAGAGCGCTTGCCTTGCATGCCTGAGGCCCTGGGTTCGATTCCTCAGCACCACATAAGCAAGAAGAAAAAAGCAGGAAGTGGCACTGTGGCTCAAGTGGTAGAACGCTAGCCTTGAGCTGAAGAGCTGAGGGACAGCGCCCAGGCCCAGAGTTCAGGCCCCAAGACCAGACCCCCCCGCCCCCCTCCCCCCAAAACAGAATGAACCAATTCATCAGTGATACTCACTAGATACCAGGTTGGCACTGAACTGTACAACTTTGGGAGGTTTGGGAGGGGAAAAAATGGGAGGAAATGAGGGAGGGGGTAACACTGTTCAAGAAGAAATGTATGCAGTATCTGACTTATGTAACTGTAACCCCTCTGTACATCACCTTTCCCATGCAAAAACATTTTTAAAAGACCATGGTATACATCTCTCTCTATCTTTTTGGCTGCCTGCTACCCAGACTTTGCTGAGTGCTCTCCCAGTCTTGGAGATAGAGAATTCCACAGATTTCCAGAAAACATGCTTCCAGACTCCTCCTGTTCTTCTTCCTCCTCCTCCTCCCTCCTCCTGAATGGTTCTGACCCTCCCTGTTTAGACTGGGTCTAGTCTCCCTTTTTGCCTCAGGACAGGTCCTCTGCCTCCCCCTCCACACACACCCCTTCACTCCCCGGATCTCACCCTCAACCAGAGGCGCTCACCTAGCTTCTCTTCGGCTTGGCTGCTTTCCGCAGTCTCCGTTGGAGGCTGGGCTGTCGCCTTGGCGGCAGCTTCCTCTGCAGCAGGGGTGGTGGCAGCAGCAGGCACATCGGCTTGTTTTGGCTCCTCCTTGGCTGGGGCATCTTCGGCCTTGGAGGACGGCGAGTTGTCAGTGGAAGCTTTAGTGGCACTTTCTGTCTCCGCAGAGCCGGCCTTCTTCTCCTCGGAGGGCGCAGCATCCTGCAGGGCCACCTGCTCGGGAGCAGCCTCGGAGGCCTCTTCGCCCTTCTTCTCCTCCGAAGCGGCGTCTCCTGCCTTGCCGGTGTCATCGGGCTTGGAGCCGGCGGCCGGGGCCCCATCAGTGGTGGCTGTACCTTCTCCCTCTTTCTTCTCCACGCCATCAGCCACGGGGGTGTCTTCCTTCTTCTCCTTCGCTTCGGCCTCAGCAGCATCTCCCTTCTTCTCGCCTTTGAGCTTTTTCCTTGTTATGTGTCCACGGAAGCTAGCCTGGATTTTGGTGGCGGCCTTATGAGCTTTGTCTTCGGGTTTGATGCCATCTTGTTCAATCTTTTGGTCCTCATCATTTTTTTCAACCTTTGTGGAGGAGAAGACAAGAGAAGGAGAGCTCAAAGGGCTGTTTGACAGAGCTGAGTATTGGACAGCCATGTAATTTGTCATGCATGGCGGGGGGGGGGGGGCTAGTTGGGAGTTTGCGCTCCACAGCGCTTTAGGCATTCAAGTTAAGGCTGTGGGACCTTCTCAAGTCCTTCCAGAATTTGTGGCATTATTTTCTATGTATTTCCACTTTGCCCAGCTCAAGGTTGCTCTACTACCAAACTTCAATTAGCATTTACGTCCAGCTTTGTCATGACAGTTCAAATCACATTCACTCTGATTTTTTTTGTTTTTTTGCCTTTTGGTTTTTGTTGTTGTTGTTGTTGTTGTTGTTGTTGTGGGGCTTGAACTCTGAGCCTGGGCGCTGTCCCTCAGCTCTTCAGCTCAAGGCTAGTGCTCTACCACTTGAGCCACAGCGCCACTTCTGGCTTTTTCTGCTTATGTGGTGCTGAGGAATAGCACACAGGGCCTCAAGCATGCAAAGCAAGCACTCTACCACTGAGCCACCTTCCCAGCCCCACTCTAAGTTTTAATCGAAGAGTTCTGAAAAATACTTGGGTTTGCGGGATTTCAGAGAGTTTGTAAAATTTTAGGTTTTTTGAAAACATTATGCAAGTCCGGCACCTTTGGTCATGCCTGTAATCCTTGCTACTTAGAAGGCAGAAATCTGTGGACTGAGGGTTGAAGCCAACCAGGGCAGGAAAGTCCATAAAAGTCTTATCAATTAATAACTCAAAACAGCCAGAAGTTGAGGTGAGGTGAGGCTCAAATGGTAGGATACCATCTTCAAACCCACCCCCAGGGGCTGGGAGGGTGGCTCAGTGGAAGAGCGCTGGCCTTGCATGCCTGAGGCCCTGGGTTCGATTCCTCAGCACCACATAAGCAGAAAAAGAAAGTGGCGGAAGTGGCGCTGTAGCTCAAGTGGTAGAGTGCTA